AAAGTGCAAACGAACTTCTCCGCGTCTTCGCTGCAGCAGAGCCCCTTCCGCTGCAGGTAGCTGCGCAGCTCCGCCGCGCTGTACATCTCGCAGTACCGCGACACAAACGGGCTGCTGCTGCTGCTGCTGCTGCTGCTGCTGCTGCTGCTGCTGCTGCTGCTGCTGCTGCTGCTGCTGCTGCTGCTGTTGCTGCTGCTGCTGTAGTACGGGGCCCCGCCGAAGGCGGGCGGGGGGCTCGACGGCCACGGATACGGCAAACTCGCTCCCAAGCTTTGCTGCTGCTGCTGCTGCTGCTGCTGCTGTTGCTGCAGCTGAGGCCCGATGAACGGGGACTGTCGAGTTCGCCTGCTGCGGCTGCTGCTGCTGCCAGGAGGTCCAAATTCGCTGTCCCTGCTGCTGCTGCTGCTGCTCTCCGTCGGCTCTTCGCTGCTGCTGCTGCTGTACTCAGCAGCACCCTCATGTATTGCTGCCAAACGAACATGGCTGTGAAGATACGCGCTCCGCGCAGCAGCAGCAGCAGCAGCAGCAGCAGCAGCAGCAGGTGCTGCTGCCACTTTGAGTCTCGCCGCTGAGGTGTGCGTGCTGCTGCTGTCCAGACATCTTCCACGCTGGGGCTGGCTGGCGACAAAACTATAGCAGCCGCAGCTGCTGCTGCTGCTCTTGCTGCTGCTCCTGCTGCTGCCGCTGCTGCTGCTGCTGCTGCTGCTGTTTTGCTGCAGCGGCAGTGCTACCTGCTGTAAATGCCTCTTCCTGTGCGTTGCTGCCCCCGACAAATCGCAGCAGCAAACCAACCATGAGAGCAGCAGCAGCAGCAGCAGAATCCTGTGGTTGCATCTTGCCCTTCGGTAAAACGCAGGCTGCTTTGGGTGCTGCGGCTGCAGCAGCAGCTGCTGCTGCTGCTGTTGCTGCTGCTGCTGCATCTTTCTAGCCCCCTTCATCTTCCACTATATATGCAGTAAGTGGGCCTCTAGCTCTGGATTAAGTCGGCAGCAGCAGCTGCTGCTGCCAGAGGTTGTGCTGCTGCAGCAGTGAAGCGGTGCAGCGGCAACGCAGCTGGGCCTCATGCGGGCGGCATTGCTGCTGTTGCTGCTGCTGCTGCTGCTGAAGAAGCAGCAAGCACTGCAGCAGGGCCTCGGCTAAAGTGTCTCGCGTTGTAGCCACAGCAGCTGCTCTAGCGACGCCGCTGTGCGTAAGTCGATTGCAGTGTCTGCTGCTGCTGCTGCTGCTGCTGCTGCTACTGCTGCTGCGGCTGTTACAAGGTCTCTTTGGTGTAAATGTCAATAAAACAATATGCAGCATGAGCAGCAGCAAAGGAGCAGCAGAAGGTGCTGCTGGCCTGCTGCGGAAGATTCGAGGCAGCTCCGTGTGGCATCCCCTGCGCCTTCTGCGGCAGCAGCAGCAGCAGCAACAAATGCTGCAGCTGCTGCTGCTTCTTCGTTAAGTGTACACACGGAGTTCGAATGTTTCTTTGATTGGGAGCAGGCAAGAGCTGGTGTTCTGCTGCTGCTGCTGCTGCAGGATCTTCGGTGGGGTCGGTGGTGTTCTCGAGCTGCAGCAGCAGCAGCAGCCCTCTAGATAAGACAACGAGGTGTACATACACCTCGATCTCCAGCGTCAAAGATCTCAAATTCTTTAGCCTTCCAGAAGCTGCTGCTGCGCTGCTGCGCTTCCACGCTGCAGTCAGAGCACTGGCTGCTGCTGCAGCTGGAGCAGCAGCGGCTGCATGCGCCGGCAGCAGCAGCAGCAGCAGCGGTTATCGACAGCATAAAGGCCTTCATTAACTTTGTGCTAATGCTCGGATCAGCGAAATAAAGGATTAATAAAACAGGTTTCTGGCTGCTGCTTCTCTGCATTTGTGCTGCTGCTGCTGCGGCTGCCCTCCAGATCTTGCTGCAGCGGCTGCAGCAGCAAATCGACCGGCCTAGTAGCGGCTCGCTGCAGCAAACGACGCATGCAGAAGCCTTTGCTGCTGCTGCTGGCCTTAGCATCTATTAGCTGCGCCTACACCAGCTGCTTCTTGCTGCCAACGACGCTGCAGCAGCAGCAACAGCAGCAGCAACAGCAGCAGCTGCTGCTACTCCGGCCTTCCGTACCTGCAGCACTGCGGCCTCGAGTCATGACAAGCTCAAGGACCCCAGCAGCGCCGACAGCTGCAGCAGCAGCAGCAGCAGCAGCAGATGGTGCTGCTGCAGTTGGCGTCCCTGCAGCGGCAAACTGCAACATATCAGGCGCCTCTACAAGCACAGCAGCAGCAGCAGCAGCAGCAGCAGCAGCAGCAGACACAGAGAATCAAGACGCTGCCCCTACAGCGTCGGACGCAGCAGCCGAGCCAGCTGCAGCAGCAGCACCAGATGCAGCAGCAGCACCAGCTGCAGCAGCAGCAGCAGCGAAAGGGCTGCTCAGGAGATACGCGGCCTGCAAGAGCTGGAAGCGCAACAAGGCGGAAGTCATCGAAAAATGGATGGTGAGCCTTCTCTTGCTGCTGCTGCTGCTGCTGCTGCTACTGCTGCTGCTACTGCTGCTGCTGCTGCTGCAGCAGCAGTTTCTGGATACCCTACATTTTTGCTGTGCTGCTGCAGCGCGAGAACAATCTGCCCTTTGTGGCTCTGGACAAAGTCCCCCCAGCAGCTTGGGGCTTCATGTGGGCATATTGCTGCTGCTGTCTTTGCTGCTGCCTTTGCTGCTGCTGCTGCTGTTGCTGCTGTTGCTGCTGCTTTTAGCGGAGGCCAAGAGACCTTCAGCGTAGAGTCATGTTTTGCTGCTGCTGCTGCGGCTCTGCGCGTGGCGCCGGTGCTGCTGCATCTGTTGCTGCTGTCAGTCTGCGTCATTCCTTTCCGCTGCTGCTGCTGCTGCTGCTGTTAACCTGAGCTCATCTGCTGCTGCTGCTGCTGCTGCTGGCTGCACGCTTTTGCTGCTGCTGCGCAGGGACTTTGAAAGCAAGGAGCAGCTGGCAGCATTTGAGCGGGCGACGGAGAGGCTGCCGTTTAGAGGCAACTTAATATACCTGCACAAGGCCAGGTCTCGCAGCAATAAGCAGCAGCAGCAGCAGCAGCAGCAGCAGCAGCAGGAGCAGCAGCAGCAGGAACAAGAGGAGCAGCAGCAGCAGCAGCAGGAGGGCAAGGCAGACAGGAAGCAAAGCAAAGCTCCAGACAGCGAAGGGCCTCCGCCGAAGAGGCGGCAGACACAGGCCGGCAACGCGCGGCCAGCAGCAGCAGCAGCAGCAGCAGCAGCAGCAGCAGCAGCAGCAGCAGCAGCAGCAGCAGCAGGGGATGACCCCGGCACTGCTGCTGCTAAGGCAGGCACAACGGAGTGCGACTTTGCGCAGCAGCAAAAGCCGCTGCCAGCTTTGCTGCACTTAATTAACAACAAACCCCACCTAACTGCAGCAGCATCCATAGAACACCGCGTTGCGCCCCTCCACGGGTATGCTGCTGCTGCTGCTGCTGCTGCTGCTGCTGTTGTTGTTGTTGCTGCTGCTGTTGCTGCTGTTGCTGCTGCTGCTGTTGCTGCTGTTGTTGCTGCTGCTGTTGTTGGCGTCGCAGTCGTCGTTCTTGGTTCGGTGGGGTCGGCTGCTGCTCATTCTGGATGTGAACAATGCGCGCAGCAGCAGCAGCAGCAGCAGCAGCAGCAACAGCAGCAGCAGCAGCAGCAGCAGGATCTGCGCACTTTTTCTGCTTCTGTTCTTCTGCTTTCAGCTTCTCATATTACGACCAACTCAAAATGAAGCACACATATCTTAAAGTAATTCCCCGGTGCTGCTGCTGCACTGCTGCTGTTGCTGCTGCTGCTGCTGTTCTGCTGCTGCTGCGGAGCATTGCGCAGCAGCAAATGCGCTGTGCTGCTGTGCCGGAACACTTAGATCCTTTGTTATATGAGCGCTGGTTTATACTGCTGCTGTTGCTGCTGTTGCTGCTGCTGTTGCTGCTGCCATGGCACTCTCCTAAGGTTGCGAAGCGATGGGTTGGCTGCGACGTAAGCACCAACAGATCCAGCTCGTTGCAGTTACTGCTGCAGCAGCAGAAGCGTTGCTGCTGCAGCGAGTTCGCCGCGGAGGCTAACTGCTTGCTGCTGCGGCAAAAGTGTCGTAAAGATGGCATGGTCACTACGGGGAAGCTGCAGCGGTAGCTGCAGCAGCAGCAGCAGCAGCTACTGCAGCAACATTCTCGCTGGTGCAAGCAGCTCGTTGCTGCAGCAAAGTTGCTGCTGCAGCAGCTGCTGCTAAAGAGCTACCGCTGCAGCTCCTGCTGCTGCGTTTCTCGTGGTTTTGCTGCTGCTATTGCTGCGCTTTGAGCGTCCTTTGGCTCCTCTCCACATATGTGTTGTCCGCTGCTGCTGCTGCTGCTGCTGCTGCTGCTGCTGCAGCAAAACTAATTCTGTGCTGCTTGCTCGCCTCCAGGTGCTGCCGGCGCTGCCTGCCCCTGTTGCGGGGCGAATGGGTTACCGCAACAAGTGCGAGTTTACTGTGGGCATAGCCCGCAGGCAGCAGCAGCAGGAGCCGCCGCCGCAGCAGCAGCAGCAGCAGCAGCAGCAGCAGCAGCAGCAGCAGCAGGAAGAGGAGCAGCAGAGCCCCTGCGTGGGGTTTGTGTGCGGGGTGCAGCGGCTGCAGCCGCAAGTGGCGCCGCCCTCTGGTTTGCTGCTGCTAAACCACGGCATGCAGGAAGCAGCGCATGCAATGGAGGTGCGTCTAGGGTTTAGGGTTTAGGGTTTGGGGTTTAGGGTTTAGGGTTTAGGGTTTAGGGTTTAGCTAGGGTTTAGACTGGCGCTGCGCTGCGCTGCTGCAGCAACTCCTCAGGAAATCCCCCTTTCCCGTTTACAACCGGCGAACCCACGAAGGTAAGTTTTCTTTTTCCTTTTATTTATTTTGCTTTTAATTATTTATTTTAATTTATTTATTTTAATTTATTTATTTTAATTAATTTATTTTAATTTATTTCTTTTTTTGATTCTTTTAATGCTTCTTGTTCATTTTTTTGTTCATTTTCCCTTTTTATGCCGTTTTGTTCTTTATCGTTTTTTGTTCCATTTGCTGTTTGTCTTTGGTCCCTTCTATAACATCTTCTGTGATGCTGCCGCGCTGCTCATCTGCTGCTGCTGCTGCTGCTGCTGCTGCTGCTGCTGCTGCTGCTGCTGCTGCTGCTGCTTCGTGTGCTGCTCAGGCACCTGGCGGCTGCTGATGGTGCGCACGTCGGCCTGGGCGCAGTCGATGATGCTGGTGGTGCAGATAAACCCTTTCCAGCAGCAGCAGCAGCAGCAGGACCAGCAGCAGGACCAGCAGCAGCAGCAGGACCAGCAGCAGCAGCAACAGCAGCAGCAACAGCAGCAGCAGCAGCAGCAGCAGCGGGAGGCTGCTGAAAATCGCAAGGCCTTGATTCAAAGCGTTGTTGATGCCTTTGCTGGGCGGACTTTCGGGCAGTACAAAGTCACTTCTATCTTCCTGCAAGAAGTGCGCTGCTGCTGCAGTTGCTGCTGCTGTCTCTGCTGCTGCTGCTGCTGCTACGATTGCTGAGCTGCTGCTGCTGCTGCTGCTCTGAGTGCGTTGCAGAACTCTGCAGTGTCTGATGCAGTTGAGGGACATCCAATGGAGAAGGTGAGCTAAAAGGCGCCGCTGCTGCTGCTGCTGCTGTTGCTGCTGCTGCTGCTGCTGCTCGCGGGTCTTTAGCTGCAGCCATTGTTGCTGCTGCTCCTGCATGCAGATGTACGGCGCGGACGTATTGGAACAAAAACTCTGCGGCCTTCGCTTCCTTGTGGGGCCCGCCTCCTTCTTTCAGGTGCGGTACAACAGAATGCTGCTGCTGCTGCTGCCGCATCCACGAGGGTGCAGTTTTGCTGCTGCCAGGGCGTTGCTGTTGCGCCGGCTCGAGTTGCTGCTGGTGTTTGCGCTGCTTCTGCTGCAGCAGGAGGTGCAGCTGAGCTCGGAGTTGCTGCTGATTTGCTGCTGTTTGCATGCAGACTAATACTCCTGCATGCGAGGTCATGTACAAAGCTGTGCTGCAGCTGCTGCTGCCGCTGCCGCCTTCGGGGCCGCTGCTGGACGTCTGCAGCGGAGCGGGCACTATAGCCCTCTGTGCAGCAGCAGCTATCAAGAACGCTGCTGCTGCTGCCGGCAGCAGCAGCAGCAGCAGCAGCAGCAGCAGCAGCAGACGGGTAATTGGAATTGAGGCAGTTGCTTCTGCTGTTGAGGACGCGAGACGCAACGCCAAACTCAACGGGCTAGATACTGACGTCGAATTCATTGCAGGTATGCTGCTGCTGCTGCTGCTGCTGCTGCTGCTGCTGCTGCTGCTGCTTTTGTTGCTTCTGCTGCTGAGCCTTAATTATCTGTAAAGGGCTTAAGTCTGTTTCTGCTGCTGATGCCACCCCAGTTGTTGAGCCCTAATTACTAGTGAATACCGAGAGCCTACTTCTGCTGCTGCTGCTACCTCTGCTGCTGCTGCTGCTGCCTCTGCTGCTGCTGCTGCTGCTGCTGCTGCAGGGAAGGCTGAGGATGTGCTGCCGGGCCTCTTAGAAGAGTTCAGCGCCGAGTCATATATTTCGGCGGTCGTGGACCCCCCCCGCATGGGACTTCGTAAGTTGCTGCTGCTGCTGCTGCTGCTGCTGCTGCTGCTGCTGACTTTTGCTGCAGTGTGTTGGCGTTGCTGCTCGTGACGGCGCTGCTGCTTCTGCTGCTTCTTGCTGCTGCTGCTGTGCTCTGCTGCAGACCCGAAAGTGCTGAAGGCTCTGAAGCACTGCAGGCAGCTGGGTGAGTCTCGCCGCAGCAGAAGTATCCCTGCAGCAGCAGCTGCAACAGCAGCAGCAGCAGCAGCAGCACTTGAGATTTGCTGCTGCTGTTTGGGTGCTGCTGTCGCAGGCAAACTGGTGTATGTCTCGTGCAACTGCAAGACCCTGGTGGAGAATCTGTTGGAGTGAGTCTAAGGGGAAATAGTTTTATTTTTTGAATTATTTTTGAATATTTTAATTAAATTTAATGAATTAAAGTTTATTTAATTGATTTTAATTCTTTTTCTCCACAGACTCTGCGCCGATGACTGCAACGACCCCTTCCAGCCAGTTGCTGCTGCACCTGTGGACATGTTTCCCCACACGCTGCACTGCGAGGCGGTGGTGCTGCTGGCGAGGCGCAGCAGAGCAGCAGCAGCAGCAGCAGAGTACTGCAGCAGCAAGCGGGCTGAGCTGCTTGCCCTCACCGCCGTCGAGCCCGCACGCGCAGCAGCAGCAGCAGCAGCAGCAGCAGCAGCAGCAGAGGCCGCTACGTCTTCAGAGGATGAAGAGGACGCCGCGGGACGGAAGGCCCCTCGCACTCCTCCCAGCAGCAGCGCAAGCAGCAGCAGCACAGGCAGCAGCAGCACAAGCAGCAGCAGCACAGGCAGCAGCAGCACAAGCAGCAGCAGCACAGGCAGCAGCGAAGGCAGCAGCAGCAGCAACTGCGCAGGCAGCAAGGCATCCGGCAACGCGCAGCCGGCCACAGCTGCAGCCCCAGATTGGAATGGATATAATCCCCTC